AGTACTTTAGTCGAGATTTAAGACTTATCAAGAACTTTCTGCAGTTTATCTGTCAACTGAATTGGATAGGGTGAATTAAAACTTGGCCTAACTGCAAACTACGGGTAATCATACCTAAGTGAGTTCCCAACCTGTAATTAGTAGTTTTACTTAGTTAAGTTAGTAGAGTAGTTTAGTAAATAAATCCTTAATCTGGTTTGCTTGATAATGAACTGAAGTTGAGTAATATTAGCTCTAGAGACCCGTGGATTTGATATTTATTACTTGTGCCATTATACTGCAGTCCCTTTCATTGGTTACTCTTGGCAATTGTTAGGAGTTGTGATTTAGCGAGTCAAGTTTTTGGCGCCGTTGCCGGGGAATTTCTAGATTATTAGGAAAGGTAGAAGTTTGTTACTTTATTGTTTTTCTTTATCTTTCCACCCTTGTTTTTCACTTGGGTGTTTTGTTTTTGTTGGTGCAGATCTGCAACATGGATCCTCATGGCTTCTCCAACTATTGGGGGTATTCACCACCACCCGAGTGGTATTATCCCGAGACTTCCTGGAGAAATCAAGGAGGAGAAGACTATGGATTCAGGTTTCAGTACCAACCCCCCTACTATGGAGAACAACCAATTCCTTGGGCACCTCTAGAACAATCTCCTTATCAAGAAGAAATTCTCCCACAACCAGAAGGGCCATCAGAGCCGGAGTTAGCCATGGAGGCCTCCATAGGCCGATCTGAACAAACACTTGAGGCTTCTCGTGGAGAAATTTATTAAAGATCATGAGATATACTTGCCCAAGATAGACCTTCTAATCCAATCCATTGCTCCTCGAGACCCTTCCTTTCTCCGTTAAATGTTCAACACTCAGTAAAGCAAACAGAGTGGGTTGAGCAAGTTTGTGCACAGCTTGCTCAAGATCACGTTTCTGCTACCATAGAAGAAGATGAGGAAGATGAAGGAAACTACAAGCAATTGGGGAGCAGACAGAAGTTGTCAGAGAGAGCTCCCGTGATGATCATGATTAGGAAAATCCTGTTGTAGCCGATCACACCTTTTCTCATTGCACATCGAGCTTTGAAGAGGCAGACATGAGTGAGGAGATGCAAGCTGAACTTATTGAGAACCTTGCATGGCAAATTTCTCTCCAATCTATGTTGGAAGAATAAGAGAGAGAAAGGGTGAGCAAAAAAGTTGCGGAGGATGGGGAAGAAACCAAAAAAGAGGAAGTTCTTGATCTATTCCAAGGGGAGATACCAAATTTTGAAGAAGGAAGGGGGTTGAAGAAGCAATTGGTGTGCAAGAGGCTTAACACCGGCCATGAGTTAAATGTGGTATCTCCACTGAACTTCGAGGAGCTGGTTGGCGAGGATCCATTTGCAGTGTCTCTTTGTCAGGCCAAGACCACAACGACATCGGTCCCTCTTGGTGGAGGCGACAGTGGTCAATCTATGATGTAATATTTGGTTTGGGGAAATAAGACGAGAGACAAAGATGAAGAGGTCTCCAGGGTGGAGACTTCCTTTACATCAAGGGGAAGACCCATTTTCGTCACTTGCTATGCCACTGCTCGTGACTTGAGAATCCACCTCATCAAGGAGAACCTCAACTTCAAGGAGGTTTTGGGGTGGAACGAAACTTAGGAGCCACCCTCCAGCTCAAAATGTGAAAGAATTGCTTGTTGGGATGCAACCCAGCCACTCGATTTTCATTTTTTCCCCTATTTCTCTTTGATTGAGTCGGTTTTGTTCTTTGATTTTAGAACTAAACCTTTGTTAGATTTTGGGTGGTGTTTGTATTTTTGACTGCTCTCTCTCCTCCTAGAATGCACCGCCTGCCCCGTCCACCATCATTCACACTTGATCTGGTAACTTCGTTCTACCCTTGTTATCTTTTCTCCATTGAGGACAATGTCGTGCTTAAGTGTTGGGGGGGATGTTCCATTATGTTTGTGTGTGCATGTTTAGTTGTATGTGCGTGGAGCCTAGTCCACCGTCCAAATTAAAAATTTGAGGGCTCCAGCATATTTTCTCCATTTGCATGAACATATTGGCACTAGTGTGTTTTTGGTGATCTCTGGTGACAGTTTGTATTGATGCATTAATGACTTGTTGGTGACTAAAATGAGCGTAATGATGACTAAGATTCGCAGTAGGATTGTGTAGAGGTTCAATCTAGCTTCTGTTTTGAACCAACTTGTGACATGGATCATTTACTCGCAGTCTAAAGTTTTCTATGCATCTAGTTCAGGAAATCAGAATGAGAGATAGAGCATATAGATAGCCATGTGAGATTTGAGCCTGCTCGTTTCTTATTGTGCGATAGATCCCTCTTCCATGATGTGTAGCATTCACGTTGGCACTAATTAGGATGATGGAGACATAGGTTTAACCCACGACCAAATTGACTGTCCTGATGTGTCATACCCCCTAGTCAGCACGTTTTAGCCGTATAACTATATTTCTTTGTGTTTACAATGAAAAATTACCCATTTGCATCTCTTTGAGATTCCACGGAGTGGTTTTTGCATGTTGCCTACTGGAAATTAAATGAGGGTTGCAGGTAGTTCATAGAAATTGAGCGTGTGTTTGCAAGAATAAAATAATGTGCAGAAGTGGTGGGTTTTTGGGGGAAAAAAAGAGAAAAAATGAAAGCAAAAGAGAGCCACCACAAAAATCTTGATCATGCTCCTAAAATAGTGTATCTTGGCAAACTGGCCTGGAAATACTTAAATGTTGTTGCCTTTTTTGCATCAAATTGTCCTGACCCCACTGATCGAGAGTGACCCCAGCTCGACCTCGAGCTCAACTCGATTAAAAATAATCCAGCTCGAGCTCGGCTCGATAGAGCGCGATAAATGCTCATTAACACTGCTTGTCAAGCTAAGTACAAGCTCGGCTCAAGATGAGCTCGATTTGAAATCATTATTTGCTGAAAAATGTGTATAAATAAGAATATTAGAAACTAAAAATGATAAAAAAGAATACTAGAAACTAAAAATAACATCTAACTTCCATACGCATCCTTATTAACATGATAATTTTCATGTTCAAAAGAGTAATTAATTCGTCCACAAACTCTAAACAAGCCAGCTTGTGAGCTTAGCTTAACAAGCCACCGAGTCAAGCTAGCTCACGAGCTTATCAAGCTGAGCATGGTCTAGCTCAAGCTTGGCGCGTTTACTAACGATTCGGCTCGCGAGCCGGCTTGTTAAACAATGAGTCGAGTGTTGAACGAGTTTTTTCCGATTCGAATGCCGAGTTGCTCCCGAGCGGCTTTGCTCATTTGCAGCCTTAGTTGGTACTTGCTAACTGTTGAGATCGATGTGTTTTGTGCCATATGTCGTGTCCCTAAAAATGTGTTGAATGGAAAATCTAATAAGCTGCCTTGTATCTGATTTGGTTTGCTTGGGGACAAGCAAATGATACACATGTTTTAAGCCTCCTTTCTTAATTGTTTAGCTTGGAATTTATGATAATTTGACCTATTTTACGCTAGGTTGTGTTCATTTGTCACTTATCAGGTCCTAGCAATTAAAAGTGAAGTATATGTGCAAGTTTCCAGTCAATCAAAGATCAATTGGCGACTCGGGTGAAGAAATTCGGGCATGACCTGAGGAAGAATGAATTTCTATCTCATTTTACAGGAAATGAATCATGTAATCTTTTCATGATGAGAAAGAGGACGAAACTACGAGCTTCTGGGATCAAAGGGCGACTAATTCAGATTCCGAACGAGGGAGAAACAAGACATTCAAGAAAAAGGAACATGAGTATTGATTTCCAAGGGTTGGAAGTCAATTCCACAGTCGTGGATTAGGGGTTTAGACTGTGGATTTTGAGCAGGAGATATCCGCGGGTTGGAGATCAAATTCCACGACTGTGGAATATAAGGGGTGATCGTGGAACGTATCAGCAGTAAGTATAAAGGTCCGTTTTGTTCGTTTTTGGAAGGCGAAAACTGGGTTTTGGATCCCAAACACACAAGGGACAAACCCTAGAGAGAGAGCGCACCTTTGAAGGGATTCGGTTCTCCTTGCTTCATCAAAAAGTGCATAAGGTGAGAGGTAGCACAATCTTTGAGGACATCAGCGGAGGAGGCAGTCGGCACCAGTAGGAGTGAACATCCAAATCTCCTTGCTGCAAAGAGGCGAGCTCAATTTCTAGTTCAAATTTCCTGGAGGCATTAGCCTGGGAATAAATATCACGGAGGTGCTTCCACAAGCAGCAGCCGTAGTGAAACCCCACAAGCTGAGAGCCATTGACGGCACAACAGACTTCAGAATCCAAGAAATAACCTGGGCGTTCTCAATTGCCTAATCTGTACAAGTCTTTGCGGACGCAAATTCGTCCGGTTCAGGGGAAGAACCATCCAGGATCGGCAGCAAGCGCTGTCCTTGTACAACAACTCTGAATTGCAACTCCGATAATGGGAAGATCGTCCCATTCAATCGTGCGGAGACAACATCTAACTTCGGACCCTCCATTGATCAAGAATCCATGAATACAGCAGCAGTAAAAGCAGACGAACTCAACAAAAATAAAAACAGGTAAGCTCCCAACAACACTAGCACGCTGGGGAAATTACAAGGATCCAATAATTCAAGGATGCTGCCAAATAGAGTTTGCCAATGACCAACCCAACGAAAGAAATCTCAACCCACAATGAGAACGGCCGAGCACCGCGAAACCAAATTGCACACAACAGGAGGAGAAGATCGTCAATACCAATACTCAATTCGGGGGCCCAAAATCACGAACGGTAGACAACCAAGAACATGAACAGCAGACAGCCAACGAGAACAAAAATCCCACAAATAAATAAGAGAAGCTCTTATACCATGTCAATCGTATCAAACCTGGAAAATAATCAACACTGAACACCAAGATTACGTGGTTTCCTCATCCATGTTGATCGTTGAGACTAGTCCACGGGAGAAGGCTGTGATCTCTTATTTACGTTCACAGTAACTTACAATAGCCGAACAAACATATATACTCGGCCAACCATAACCCACGTCAGAACAGGATAGAAAAATATGTACATGGCAAATTACATACAGGTACCTAAACCTTTAACTTCTAACATAAACATCCGCCGCCATCTATCATTAAATACCAGAAAATAACATTGTTAGATTTGTAAGCAAATCGTGAAAATACAAAACATTCAAACACAAGGAAAACTCTTTTAATTTGGAGTATTTTGGGCAAAAACCATAAGTATTCCAAAAACAAACAACAAGTAAATCATTTTTTTTTAAGGAAGAACAACAAGTAAATCATGGTTAAACTACTATAACATTATTGGTCTTATAGCGTTTCGTTATAATTTACGTTGATAAATCACAAAAATATAAAATATACGAAAATTTTAATTAACAATATATCATAGAATGAAAAGCAAGTACGTACCCTAAGAGCCTCTTCCATCATTTTGGCAGAACCCAAACACAACTTCGATCAGATTTTTACTGGGACAAGGCTATATCGGAACTCAAGGAAACTTTTTAATGTAGAAGATCGGGCTTGGCCGTAACCCCAGAGCACACAACTATTCCGTGAGTGATGGAGGAGAGGGAGGAAGATGTGGTGGTGGTGGTGTGATGAAATGAAGGGGGGGGGGATTATAGGCTGAAGGGGTTGGTGAGAGAGCCCCCGGATCGCGGCCTATTAAAGCGATCAATGGTTGATCGCATTATACACATCAACCATTCAAATATGCACTTTCCCCACCGCAAACCTGCGTTTCATGTCAGCGATCCATGTCACTAGTAACAACCAATCGCGTCGCACGGAAGCGTCTCACACGGATCACGTCCGCCCAAAGCGATCTTATAATTGATCGCTTGCCATGTCATCGATCCGCACTAATCGCGTTCCTGGATGAGAATCTTCACTAAATCGCTTTACTCGGCAGCGATTTGTAATTGATCGCATTTGTCGACAGGGATTTGGTGAAAACATGTGTACTTTTTTGAAATTTTATAAAAACTATTATATTTTGAGAATTTCTTTTTCGTAGAGAAAAAATCGAAGAATTAGATGGTTAGCATCCCATCTCTTGGGAAAACATATGGGACCCTTTCATTACTGATTTCTCCCCTCCTCTAGTTTCACAGTAATGTAAGTATAAAGTATGTAAGGCCTATTCTTGTATAAAAGCGTCACTTCTAAGCTTACTATTTATTAAACAGTTTACTTTGTTTTATTAATATCTTCAAGTAAGAGTTACTATTCATTAGCGTATTGTAATTCTACGAAACTTTAGTGTCATTATGTTTATGTTCATTAAATGATAAAACCACAAATAACTTCAACACTTAGGATTACTAATTCATTTAGAGGGATTTTGGTAATTTTCATAAACTTTAGTGACATTACACTAAGCTCGCATAATTGTCAAATTTTCATTTATTTTTCTAATTTCCCTTCATTTGCATAAAAACAAGAGGATCACATTTCATTTATTTTCATAGAAACATATATATCTCATTTTTCCTTTTTTACCATTTCCTTTTATCACATATGGCCTATAAAAACCTTTTAGGCTTTAGCAATCCGCTTTTTTATTTCTTTATTTTATCCTTTTGTTTTTGCTACTTAAATCAAAATCTTAGTACGTATTTGACACATATTTCGGCGATGTGTATATCATTTTTTAATTCTTATTTATTTGCAGTTTTCTTACTATTCAACTAAATGTAGACCGATCACGCGTATTGGGGTTACGTGTATATCGGTAAAGCATTTTCCAATCTTGGTTAATTTTTCGTCTATTCAACTAAAGGTCGGCTGATCCCACATATTTCAATCACGTGTAGTACACATTGAAAAACAAGAGGATCACATTAATGATTTCCACAATGTTTTTGTTGTTCCCCAATCGGTACCTATTCATTGGCCAACGAGTCCAACTTTTATTGTTTGTTTCACCTTATTGCAAAATGTGTTTCGTCGATTCTTATTTAGTCGTTTAGATGTTCAAATGAGAGATAGATCTGCATTTCTTTAGGTTTGTGTTCTTTACAAGTTAGTTTATTCTCTACAATCTTTTGTAACCTTTCTCATTACTCACTTCACGACATGAAGCGTACGGAACATGGATATCTAGTCTCAATAAAATCCGAGGACGTCTTGCTCTTTAGTGATAAGGTGATCAAATATTTTATGTTGGTTTCCTTTTTATCCCAGCCAATGAGAATGGGTAGCTCAAGCTCACAACCTTCGCAAAATACTAAGCAAGTCAACAGAACCGCACCCACTCGTTTTGGTTTTCTTCCCCTCCCAAGGATAGATTGGCGTGATGATGTTGTTGCTGGCGTCGAACGCGAGATGCCGGCTTCATTTGCGGCTCGATTACCACCTACAAACCCTAAAATGGTCTTTTGGGACGATCAAGTGAGTTTGGGAAGAAATGACCTTTTGATCGAAAATGCACAATGAAGCTGAGTGTGTAAGATTTGTTACGATGGAAAGACGACTCGTCGTATTGGGCTTGATTTATCAGGCCCACTTGCGTTTCACTAACCCACGTATAGCCTGCTAACTTAAAACGACCCGCTTTAACTTTACTCTACTGCTTCTTCTTCTTCATTCTTCCAAACGTAATCCCCAGTGCGAAATATGCACACCTGATTCTGCAAAAACAGAGTATAGTCTAGAGGATCCCAATACTGACTATTCCACGGTTGGAGGATCATGATTTGTGATTTTCGACGTTCCACTAGGTATGATGATTTTGTTTCTTTGACACCTTTACACTCATGAGATTAACCGATCCAATCCTGGATGATTAATCGAACTACTAACAGCTATCTCCCAATCCCCAAGCTATCCAGCTCCTGTATTTTCCAACACACTTTCCCTCTAACACAGTTTCACTCCAGAATCGGTGTTAGAACTGCTTTTCTCTATCAATCACACTCACTATTCCCTTAGCCTTCCTTGTGTGCCTTGATCTCTCGAAAAGTAGTTCTGCCTGTTACCCACGAGTCTCCTTAGCCACTTTGTTCTAGCCGTTAATTGCAAGAAAGGCAATCCATCTTCTTTATGAATCATTTCTCCTGTTGCACCATTTCTTGATTGATCTTGCAATCTATTCTTTCCTAACTTCTTTACTCCAACTCTTCTTAACGAAATCATTGACAGTCTTTTTTCCAACAATCTCCCCTAAGCCGGTCAATGATCCCTTTCGATCGCAACTATAGTTCCTGCACACACAAAAACAAATGGTTACGTGCAGACTGCTCTCAAAATAATTTGCATAAGAACCATTCAGAATATTATCCAAAAACAAGGGAGTTTATTTTATTCATTGCCGAATCACACAACACTCTGCTTACTACATCGCAATTAAGAACTTAACTAGAAACGACTAGACTCTAGACAAGACTCAACTTGAAACCCTAAGTGTTTTGTTGCAGCAAGAACTTTATTGACGATGAACATCTACCTAGACCAACACACTCAGACTCGCTCCCCCTCAACTTTAAAAATAACTCCCCCTTAATCTACTCCCCCTTTGTTCGTTCTAAAACGGATAGGTGGAGGATTGCACATAATCAGAGATATTGCCTTCATCCTCGCTGTCATCAGGGCCTCCGTTAAGAGCCGGTTCCACCTTGACTACACTCGAGCTGGCCCCAGCAGGATCATCAACCACGCCCGCAATACTCAGTACATCTTCAGGAAGAACTACATTGCGAGCTGCCCTTTCTCCCCCGGGAACATTGACCCGCGGACGACGACAGCCCACAGATGCATCTACCTTGCGCAGCACAAACTGAGCTTGGAGACTGTCAAGCAGATTGACCCTGGATACCTTATAACGGAGATCAACGCCCAGGGCGCGCAACATAAGAGTAATTTGAGGAGCAAAAGGGAGGTTACCATCAAGATTGTCTTCAGAAAAGGCAATCATGTGAGAGAACATCAAGTGAGGATAACCGATAGGACGATTCTCCTTCGCAAAAAGGTGCGAGTGATATAGAAGTGAAGGACTTTGAGGTCTTCTGAAGCTTTCCAAAGGCCATATTGGTTGAATGAAACTTCCCAGTGTCACGAGTATACCTTTGAAGAGCAACCACCTCGTTAAATTGAACATCGGGAAAGTCCGAGGCATCCATGACTGCAGCACCATGGATTGGGATTCCTAGCAGCAGAGACAGCAGATCAATATTGACTATAATCAAGTATTTGAACACAATGGTCGTGAAGCAAGGTGGGAAGGTGTTGAAGCATGGCCTCATGTTCGAATAGAACATGCGAACGGCTTCAGGACAGAACCCATAATGCTGATTGAGCAGAATGTCAATCCAACCAATCGAATTGATCATCCCTGGAACATCCATGTTGTATCTATTGAATCTCGACGGATCGAGATCAACAGCAGGGCACAGGTCTCGGTCCTGAAACTTGAGGAGATAGCGAGAGTAGTCTATAGCATTGGCAAAGCATCTGCCATTGAAGATGGCCTCTTGAGCGAGCTAAAGCGCTACTTGATGGTTAACGCCCGCCATAGGAGATGACAGTATAGACAGTGGGTTTAGATTTAGGAAGGATGAGATAGCAGAAGGGTCCTAAAGGTAGAATTTTTACTAGACTAGAGTAACGTCCAAGGATGCGAGGATATGGAAGGTGAACGAATTAGTGCTAATTAGCCGTATGAGAAGAGACACGATGGTAAAATAGGGAAGGTGAATCGAATTAATTAAACGTGAACCTAAAGAATAGGTTGCACAGACAGATCCTTTCCCTTGCAAAGATTTACCACATCAGTCCATGAAAACATTCCTAATTCACGACGAATACTATGGAAAGTCTGTGAACCCAGAGGTAGGCACAAATTCTAGTCCTATTTGTTCTTCTACCATTAACTCTCGAATAAAGTGATAACGTATATCAATGTTCTTAGTTCGAGAATGTTGGACTGGATTTTTAGTCATATTAATTGAACTTGTCTTATCACACAGAATAGGTACAGACCCTGGGACAAGACCATAATCTTGCAGTTGGTGTTTCATCCAAAGAATTTGAGTACAACAGCACCCTGCTGCGATGTACTCAGCTTCGGCTGTTGAAAGCGCGACTAAGTTTTGTTTCTTACTGAACTAGGAGACTAGAGAAGTACCCAGAAACTGACATGTTCCTGAAGTACTTTTTCGATCTATGATGCAACCAGCATAATCAGCATCTGAATATCCTAAAAGTTCTAAAATGGAGTCATAGGAATACCACAATTCTAGATTCGGACACCCACTTAGATATCTAAAAATACGTTTGACAGCACTTAGATGACTCTCTTGAGGTGAACTCTGAAATCGAGCACACACACGCTGTACATGATGTCAGGTCGGCTAGCTGTCAAGTATAAAAGTGAACCAATCATACCCCTAAAGAGTTTCTCATTCACTGTTGTTCCCGATTCATCCTTGTCAAGTTTAGTGTTTGATGCCATGGGGGTTATGGCAGCCTTTAAGTTCCCAAAATCAAAATGTTTTAACATGTTCTGAAGGTACTTGGTTTGACAAATAAAAGTTCCAGCAGGGGTTTGTTTAATCTGAAGTCCAAGAAAGAAATTTAGTTTC